CAAACCAATAAAATCAGTTATTATTTGTCACTATTTATAACAAATAAATAACAAACCATCAGTTGCTATTTTAAAAAAAGACTAAATATTCTACAGAATTAAAACTATTTAATACTTTTTTAAAAATTATATACACACACACACACACACACACACACATATATATATATACTGTATATAAATCAACAGAACAGCATACTATATTGCAATCAATTCCTACAAGCTTTTTGGAACTGGAAAGTTTTGACTTGGAAGGAGAGCCATGCCAGCCTTTGTAATAAAGTGGGAGTACCAAATCCTGGGAGCAGCCACTAAGAAGGCCCTGTTTCCATTATTCCCACCAAATGTGCCTGGGAAGGAGAGAAGGAGCTCTCCCAAAAATCTTTGAGCTGGAACAGGACCACATAGGAAGATACAGTGGTGCAAATAGCTTGAACCCAAGTCATATAGGGGTTTATATAGGTCATAACCAGCACTTTAAACTGTGCCCAGAAATGGACTGGCAACCAATGGAGCTCTTGCAATAGCCAATGTGCAAGAACATTGCTATGATTGTTTCAAAAAGGTTGGTCAGGAGAATGTGTGGGTTTTTCTTCCTAAGCCAAGGAGGAAGAAAACTCGATTTGCTACGACCGAAGCCAAAGAACGGAGCCCACCATCACTCCTTACCCGGAAATCGATCCCCACCGTCGAGATGAAGCTCCCGGCTAGGAAAGCGCCGTCCTTAAACCGAACCAAAAGGCAGGTTTTGCCAACTCCGGAGTCACCGACCAGCATCACCTAAGAGGAGAGGAACAGGTGTGAGGAAAGGGAAAGAAATGACCATTGGCAAACATTTCTGGTGCCATTTGCCCAACTGGGCATCTGGAATCAGAAAGATGGTTGGAAGGGATGGAAGGGAGAAGGATCTCCATTTCGTTGTGCTAAACAACACAACACAGCTGCCCCAACAGCAGGCAGGCAGGCATATATATATATATATATATATATTTCCTGAACTGAGGCCAACAGATGTAGATTCTGTGCCTGCCTGCTGTTGGGGCAGCTGTGAATGTGTGGGTTTTTCTTCTTTATATGAGATTCAGCATATGTCTGGCATATAATTGCACCTCCACAGTTATGTTTCCTGCAAAAAAAACCCCACAACTTTTAAGTGAGACAGCCTCCTCAACATTGCAATTTCCATGTTGCTAGAGAGCAGGAGGATCAGGGGAGAGGTTGCTGTCGCTGCGTGATTTGCAAAAAGGAGGCAAAGGCAAACCATCTCCCCTGGTTTTTACATTGCTCCCAAAAAAGCATTGCAGAAGAACAGAGCAGGAAGAGCCGCGGCGGTTGGAGGCTCCCGTGTCAGTGGGGCAGTGGATCCGTGCCAGGTTTTGGCTGGCTTTAAAGGAGCTGTCAAAGCTGCCTTAAAACCTGGAGTGGATTCACTGTCTCACTGGCACGGAAGGCACCAGCCAGCACTGAATAAAAGACCGAGGGGCCATAAATGTTATTTGCTATTACATGAGTCCCAGTGCTATACCCCTCCATCCCAAATCCAGTGTGGGAGAATCCCTCGACCCATTTCTTAAACACAACTGGAATGACTTCTCTCTCTGCCATAAACCTATATTGGGAGAAGATGGATCAATTTATGTTCCCCCAGGACAACTCTTCAACAAGGGACTCACAAGTCCAGCATCCTGCCCATGAGTTGCAAGCTTTAATCCTATCAACCCCAGAGCCTATTCCTCATCCTGGATATGCATACTAGGAAACTAGCAGATTTAAATAGCAAAAGTCCTTTGGAGAATCCACAAAATCCCAGCTAACTCCACCTCCTTCATGAATGCTTGCAATTGGGTTCCAAAAAGTGTGGGATCCGAGCCCCTTGTACACAAACCGTGCGAATGCAACAAATAAATGCTTTTCTTGAAAGCAGAAATCGTTGTTTTGCTAGATTCAGAGGCAATAAACCGCACAGAACAGATGCTGTCTTGGGTAACAGATGCTAATTGTGCATTAGCTGCCTTATTTGTTGTCAGGATTATCGGCGTTGTTTATGGCCACCGTTAAATATACAACTGTCATCTTCTGAATCCAATTTCTTCCCAATCCATGCCACTTCATACAAACCACAGACACTGGGCATCGATACCACAAGCTCCAAATTGGGCATCTTGCATCTGGGGAAGTGGAGTGTCATCCACAGCCCAGAAATAGTCCAGTTTGGCACCACTTTAACTTCCACGAACCAATATTATGGAATAATGGGATCTGTAGTTTTGGGAGATATTGAGCCTTCCTTGTCAGAGCACAGCAAACTACAATTCCCAGA